AGTATGGTTTTCGATCAGGAAGATCCTGTGTATCAAATTTACTCAGTTTCTATGATCGGGCCACAGAGATATTACAGGAAAGAGATGGCTGGGTTGACTGCATCTATCTGGACCTAAAAAAGGCTTTCGACAGAGTTCCACATAAGAGGTTGTTCTGGAAACTGGAAAATATTGGAGGGGTGACAGGTAAGCTTCTATCATGGATGAAAAATTTTCTGACTGATAGAAAAATGAGGGCAGTAATCAGAGGCAATGTATCGGAATGGAGAAATGTCACAAGTGGAGTACCACAGGGTTCAGTTCTTGCACCAGTGATGTTTATTGTGTACATAAATGATCTACCAGTTGGTATACAGAATTATATGAACATGTTTGCTGATGATGCTAAGATAATAGGAAGGATAAGGAATTTAGATGACTGTCATGCCCTTCAAGAAGACCTGGACAAAATAAGTATATGGAGCACCACCTGGCAAATGGAATTTAATGTTAATAAATGTCATGTTATGGAATGTGGAATAGGTGAACATAGACCCCATACAACCTATATATTATGTGAGAAATCTTTAAAGAATTCTGATAAAGAAAGAGATCTAGGGGTGGTTCTAGATAGAAAACTATCACCTGAGGACCACATAAAGAATATTGTGCAAGGAGCCTATGCGATGCTTTCTAACTTCAGAATTGCATTTAAATACATGGATGGCGATATACTAAAGAAATTGTTCATGACTTTTGTTAGGCCAAAGCTAGAATATGCAGTTGTTGTGTGGTGCCCATATCTTAAGAAGCACATCAACAAGCTGGAAAAGGTGCAAAGACATGCTACGAAGTGGCTCCCAGAACTGAAGGGCAAGAGCTACGAGGAGAGGTTGGAAGCATTAAACATGCCAAAACTAGAAGACAGAAGAAAAAGAGGTGATATGATCACTACGTACAAAATAGTAACAGGAATTGATAAAATCGACAGGGAAGGATTCCTGAGACCTGGCACTTCAAGAACAAGAGGTCATAGATTTAAACTAGCTAAACACAGATTCCGAAGAAATATAAGAAAATTCACCTTCGCAAATAGAGTGGTAGACGGTTGGAACAAGTTAAGTGAGAAGGTGGTGGAGGCCAAGACCGTCAGTAGTTTCAAAGCGTTATATGACAAAGAGTGCTGGGAAGACGGGACACCACGAGCGTAGCTCTCATCCTGTAACTACACTTAGGTAATTACACTTAGGTAATTACACACACACACACACACATATGTTAGAAACCCCCGGAGTCGGTGGCCGAGCGGACTGCACACTGGACACGTGATCCTGCGGTCCCGGATTCGATCCCGGGCGCCGGCGAGAAACGATGGGCAGAGTTTCTTTAACTCTATGCCCCTATTACCTAGCAGTAAATAGGTACCTGGGAGTTAGTAAACTGTCACGGGCTGCTTCCTGGGTGTGTGTGTGTGTGGTGTGAAAAAAAAGGTAGTAGTAGAGACAGTTGATTGACAGTTGAGAGGTGGGCCGAAAGAGCAGAGCTCAACCCCCGCAAGCCCAACTAGGTGAATACACACACACACACACACATTCTTCAGGGAACCAGACACAATAAGAATTCCAGAGAACAACATAGAGCACATAGAGGTGTCTAGAGACGAAGTGGAAAAAATGCTCAAGGAGCTATAAATAAGAACAAAGCAGTTGGTCCAAATGGAGTTTCACCATGGGTTCTGAGAGAATGTGCACCTGAGCTCAGCATTCCACTTCAACTGATTTTTCAGGCATCCCTGTTTACAGGAGTTGTAGCTGATGTGTGGGAAAAGGCTAACATAGTTCCAATCTACAAAAGTGGCAGCAGGGAAGACCCCCTCAATTATAGACCTGTATCATTGACAAGTGTAATAGTGAAAGTATTGGAAAAACTAATCAAAACTAAATGGGTAGAACACCTGGAGAGAAATGATATAATATCAGACAGACAGTATGGTTATCGATCTGGAAGATCCTGTGTATCGAATTTACTCAGTTTCTATGATCGAGCCACAGAGATATTACAGGAAAGAGATGGTTGGGTTGACTGCATCTGTCTGGACCTAAAAAAAGGCTTTCGACAGAGTTCCACATAAGAGGTTGTTCTGGAAACTGGAAAATATTGGAGGGGTGATAGGTAAGCTTCTATCATGGATGAAAAATTTTCTGACTGATAGAAAAATGAGGGCAGTAATCAGAGGCAATGTATCAGAATGGAGAAATGTCACAAGTGGAGTACCACAGGGTTCAGTTCTTGCACCAGTGATGTTTATTGTGTACATAAATGATCTACCAGTTGGTATACAGAATTATATGAACATGTTTGCTGATGATGCTAAGATAATAGGAAGGATAAGAAATTTAGATGATTGTCATGCCCTTCAAGAAGACCTGGACAAAATAAGTATATGGAGCACCACTTGGCAAACGGAATTTAATGTTAATAAATGTCATGTTATGGAATGTGGAATAGGAGAACATAGACCCCACACAACCTATATATTATGTGAGAAATCTTTAAAGAATTCTGATAAAGAAAGAAATCTAGGGGTGGTTCTAGATAGAAAACTATCACCTGAAGACCACATAAAGAACATTGTGCAAGGAGCCTATGCTATGCTTTCTAACTTCAGAATTGCATTTAAATATATGGATGGCGATATACTAAAGAAACTGTTCATGACTTTTGTTAGGCCAAAGCTAGAATATGCAGCTGTTGTGTGGTGCCCATATCTTAAGAAGCACATCAACAAACTGGAAAAGGTGCAAAGACATGCTACTAAGTGGCTCCCAGAACTGAAGGGCAAGAGCTACGAGGAGAGGTTAGAAGCATTAAACATGCCAAAACTAGAAGACAGAAGAAAAAGAGGTGATGTGATCACTACATACAAAATAGTAACAAGAATTGATAAAATCGACAGGGAAGATTTCCTGAGACCTGATACTTCAAGAACAAGAGGTCATAGGTTTAAACTAGCTAAACACAGATGCCGAAGAAATATAAGAAAATTCACCTTCACAAATAGAGTGGTAGACGATTGGAACAAGTTAAGTGAGAAGGTGGTGGAGGCCAAGACCGTCAGTAGTTTCAAAGCATTATATGACAAAGAGTGCTGGGAAGACGGGACACCACGAGCGTAGCTCTTATCCTGTAACTACACTTAGGTAATTACTCACTTAGGTAATTACACACACATACGCACGTACGCGCGTACATATGTATGTGTGTAACTAACTTTATATTGCACCAGAGAGATAAGGCCAATCTCTTGCAGTGGTCAAATGATAACTTATCACAACGTTCTCACCCATGGACCACTACAACAACATTCTCACCTGTGGACCACTACAACAACAACAATGTTCTCACCTGTGGACCACTACAACAACAACAATGTTCTCACCTGTGAACCACTACAACATTGTGCCAAAAGTCAGAAAGAGCTCAGTAGATATTAGCTTATTTCTAACCTATCATATTTGCAAGCTCAAGAAGAGAATCTTAAGAGAGGGAGGGAATTATCTGGGGAAAGCGCCAAGCCATTACGACCATAGCACTTGGAAGGGGTTAGGATAAGGATTTGGGATGGGACAGGGAAAAGGAATGGTCACTAACCACTTGGACGGTCTGGGATTGAACGCCGACCTGCATGAAGCAAGACCATCACTCTACTGTCCAGCCCAAGTGGTTGGGCAAATTCACCATCTTTCAGTAAACAATCTAGTAAAACCAACACAACATGGTTTTGCTAAATATAAATCCTGTCCTACCAACCTGCACACATTTTTGGAGACTGCAACAAGCTCTTCAGACAAAGAATTTCCAGTAGACATAGTATACATGGACTTGTCTATAATTTTTGATACATTACTACATGAAAGACTGGCAAAGAAATTACAAGCACATGGAATAAATTGTAAATTATTAGAATGGATTAAACAATGGTTAAAGTAAAGAAAGCAAAAGGTCATCCTAAATGGAAAATGTCTGACTGGAGAAATATGGTGAGTGGGGTACTGTAAGGTTCCTTCTTAGGGCCAACCCCTTTGGTCATATACAGCAATGACATAGATGAGAATATTACAAACTGCATCATCAAATTTTGCAGATGATACTAAGATATGTCGTAAAATTGGAAGGGAAAATGATAATGAGACACGCAAAGAGATTTACAAGGCATAGCAATACATATTACAACTATCAAATCAATAATGCTACCATGCAGCAAATTGAGTTAGAAAATGACGTCAGAGTTAGAATCCACCAGTCATTGAAAGTTGGACAGTTGGGAGCTGCAGTAAGAAATAGCTAACCAAATCCTAGGAATAGCCAAACATTTAACTCCAAGGAAAAGGTGGCTTTTCAACTGTACAAATTTGTGCCCCCATCAGGAATACTTTTTCCAGAATGGAGACTTCATGGTCAGAAAGACATATCTGCCTTGGAGAAAGGACAATGTAGAGCAACAAAAATCATCCCAGAATTAAGTTGACACTCGTATTAGGAAAGGCTGAGGGCTATAGGATTAACAACACTGCAAGCCAGACATGACAAGGCGGATCACATAGAAACTTATAAAAATACTTAACAAAATGGAGGATATTAATCCAAATCACTTCTTTAGAAGGTCACATACAAGGGGCAAAACCTTCAAGCTCAACAATTCACAATGTAGAACAGAAAACAGAAGATGCTTTTTCATTCATAGGAACTGCCTGCCTGCCAAATCCACAAATTACTGCAGTTCAAAATCCAATTGGAAAAATTTCAGTAAAAATGGGGGAACCTTTGAATATCTACTAGCGTCCTGTTCCCGTTGTGGCCACTAAATAGATGGTGGCCCCCCTCAAATAAATTCAAGTACTGGATATAATTCACATATTTTTAGAATTGCACATTGCAAGGTTAATAAATATACTGGCTTGGGAATATTTATTTGTATTTAATTAAAAATTAGTTTTCTTATAATAATGTTTTCTCCTCAGAATGCAAGGTGTGGTATGGGTATCCGTGGGCGTGCTGGTGTTAGGGGTGTGTGTTTCTGGGCTGGAGAATGGGCTGGCCCGCACTCCGCCCATGGGCTGGCTGGCTTGGCAGCGGTTTAGGTGCAACACAGACTGTGTCAATGACCCACACAACTGTATCAGGTATGTAAACATGGTTTATTTGCATCAAACCCTGCTGCATGTGTGCATAACCCTTGTTAATTGGCTTGAGAGTCACTCACTAGTGGCCTCAATAAGGACAGGAAGCTGGCAACTTGTCAAAGCGCTTCCCCATCCCGACCCTATACAAGTTAATCCAGTGTGTTCATTTTCACAAGAATTTACCTGTATTAAAGACCTACTTTTTGAAACAATTGTCAACATATCAATTTCTGATTTATTTGTTTCCATTATATTACCTCCTTTAAATTACAGTAAGTAATTATGTAAGTAATTATATACAGTAAGTAATTATAAATTACAGTAAGTAATTATTCCTCTTTCTTTCTGCATGTGCATCATTTTTAACAAAGATTTAATTTTAAAATTATATATTTTCTCTGTACACTAGTGAGTCGCTGTTCATGCAAATGGCAGACATCATAGTGAACCAAGGGTACCGTGACCTGGGGTATAACATGGTCTCTCTGGACGACTGCTGGCTTTCAAGAGACCGTGATGCTCGTGGTAGACTCCAGCCTGACCCTTTTCGCTTTCCATCAGGCATTGCTGCCCTTGCTGACTACGTATGTATCTTGCTAGTTGACATAATTCATTGGTTTATTCTGTAGAATAAGAAATATTGGAATGATATAGGAAGCAGTTAATTTTCTTATGCTTCCATCTTTGGTATCAGGCATAAGGTCACTCCTAAGGTCAATATTTGTCTGGTGTTGAGAGTCATCTCCCGAGGCCTCATAACTATAACCCAGTGACAAGTCACTTCCTCACTGGATTACTTTCCATGATTATTAAAACTTTTAAATACATTCTATTTTAAGCTCAGGTACATAATACAGTTTTCCATATAAATTACCAGGATAAAAATAAATAATCAGAAACTAGCCATCTGTGTTGATGGCTGCCCTGTCTACATACTTCTGGTCCTACCTTTCTACCTCATATTCCACTTCACAGAACTCTAAGATTGAGATTTTTCTCTGACGTGACATATTAAATATTATACCCATTGTATCATTTAAATGTCTTTCCCATTTTCATGTTATTTTGCATGGAATATTTATATACTGTACTGCTGAATTTGTTATACTGTACAGTATTTCTTTAGTGATTAGTTGTAGATAATGAGTTTTATACATTCACAAATGCTATATTTCCCATAAAACAGACTGAAATACTGTAGTCTCAAGTATCATCTTATTTATTTTAATTATGTATTAGGTAAATATACTCTCACTATATGCAGGACAGTATATCCATAAATTTTTCACTATATACGAGGACATGTCATATGTACAGCGTTTTATTTGGTATTGTTACTTTGACACCTCCACCAGATGCACAAGCGTGGGATGAAGTTTGGCATTTATGAGGATTATGGAAATTTCACATGTGCGGGCTACCCTGGTATTTTAGGTCACCTACAGACAGATGCCGAGACATTTGCAGACTGGGGTGTAGACTATGTCAAGCTGGACGGCTGTTATTCACACCCTTCAGATATGGACCGAGGTGAGCAATGTAACCTTTTATGACGAATTGCACAAGATGATACACTTTAAATTTTGTCTCTATTGTATTTTGAAATATTGTATATAAAATTATGTTAGTGTAATATTAAAAAAGTACAGTAGTATAATTTCTTAAATACCATCTGTGTTAGCTGAATGCATCTCTGTTAAGAGTTATTAGTACTGTATGTGAATTTGTGTGAAGGAGCAGTGCTTCTGTAAATATTACTCTATGTTGTTTTTATACTACTTTTGACACTCACATGACTGGACTATATTTTGTTCAACTGTAAGACATTCTTTAACTTCTTTAGCTGTCTGCACATTATTACTGCTGTGCCATTCACATATTACACACCCTATGGCCAAAAATCATCAGGTAAAGTTTTATTTGTTTGCCTGTTTTCTTTTATTCAAATGTTTGTGCAATTACCTTTAATTTCTCTGATTTGTTTCCTTTGTGTTCTTTGTTAAAAACTTGGTAATTTTAATTAAAATTAGTTAAGGTTAAAGTTTGAGGGTAAAAGGTCATTAAAGAGCTTTAATTTCCTGATTATATTTTATCAATTAATAACCATTCATGAATCTTTTATGGCAGTATTATGCATCAGTTTTATTAACTGTCCATATTTCTTATTTAACTGTTCACACCTACCTTGATAGTCCAAATCTATTAGTCTTCTGTTGAATTCCAACAGCATGTGTGTTTGGCTATACAGCCCAGTACAGATGACCCTCACTACGCCCAAGATCAAATGATGCACTTTTAAATGTGCTATTTTTATACAAAATTTGAACAGCTCAAGTTTAGGTTTGCCATACATGAGTTGATGCATGAGATTCATGCAACCAAGATGTTGTTTTGGCACTTGGTGCTTCAATACCAAGCTCTGATGTAGTGGTTCCTCACAGTTTCATGTATGTGCCATAGTACCATCCAAGCATTCTTTACTGTATTATGTCTTGAACAATGTTATGGATGGAAAGTGGGGAAAATATTAGTAGTAATGTTTAGGTATGTATTTTATTGAGTAGAAGTAAAGTACACTTTTGGAGATTGTAACTAGCTAAATTTTATCATCAATTGGGTTTCGTCAAGATTTCACTTGTGGATTGATAAATATTTTCAGTTTAACTAATAAAACATTATTTTGTTTCAATATTTTTTGACTATATAATGAAGGTAAAACTAGGTCATATTTTTAATCATTAATTTTATAATTTTGATAAAGGCAGATAATTTATAAAATTATTTCAAAATAAAGGTATACAAGTACAATTCTAGATGCACTATTAGGAACACCATTTAACCATTAAGTATGAGACCATTGCTCTACAAACCAGGCTATGAATATGCTGACAATAAGGAAGATTCAGAAGTACCAAACTGTTCTACACGAGAAGACGGTTGAGGTGTAAGAAATTAAAGAAAACTTTGTAAACTGAATCGAGCATGGTTATTGCACAGGAAAAAAACGGTCAGCATAAATGGAATTAAAGTTAGAGCAGGTTAATAGTTGCTAGTGGAGTATTTCCAGGCTTTACCCTGGGACCTTGACAGTATGGTGTCGATAGGTACTACAGCCTAATAGTATAAACTGCCAGGTGCTGCAACTTGACAGTATGACCTGACACGTGCTGCATCTTGACAGTATGACCCTGCCATGTGCTTCAGCTTAACAATATGAGCCTGCCAGTGGCTGCAGGTTAATAGTATGACCTTTCATGTGCTGCAGCTTGACAGTATCATACCACTGCTTTATGCATGTTGTCACTATTCTACATGATAAACTATTACATGAACATTGCTCATTTACATATAATCTTCATCATAAGTATTCTCCTTTGTGCAACTGTATTGCTTTAGATTTTTCATTCATTTTGTTCCTGTGTACATATGTCTTTCCTTAATTCCCATTATTTGTGCCCTACTTTCCCAGGCTACCCCCTATTTGGTTTTTACCTCAACCAGACGTTACGGCCCATGGTATACTCCTGCTCGTGGCCAGTCTACCAGACATATTCCGGCATGACGGTGAGATGGTGGTGATGGCTTCTCTGATGGGGAGTTTGGTCATACTGTTCTAACTTTAATTGTCGAGTAACAAACTTGTACAGATCGTGGCGAAGACTGTTTTGAATAATTATTGGGATGACTTTTTACACCCTGATTATAAGGTCTGATCTATGAGAAAAGTTTCACTAGAAACAAAAGCTCAGAGGTAGACTTCAGAGGCATTATTTTCAAGTGTTTGAGTCTGTAAACAAATTTCTACAGACTCCCTTTATTTTAGAAATAAGAAATGTCTTGAATGTGTGTGTTTTATGCACTCTGTTATCACTGCAACTTCCAGTTTCCAACTGGAAATTTCCAGCTATCACCAGCACACACTCAAACAAATACAGTACTTGTTTACATCATTTGGCACGGCTTTGGGATACATTCTGGTATTTCTTATCGTCTCCCAATTATATTTAGTAATGGCATATGTGTTTAATTTTGTAATGCGTATCTTAGTTACATGAAAGCCTATCCCTTAGGTATTGGGATTTATTGCACTTTCCAGCAACTTTTAAGTGTTTTACTGTAATACAAAAGCACATCCTAAAATTATTTTAGGATGTGCAGCTTCACTGGGTTAAAATACAGTATCTCTTATTGTTAGTTAACGATTTGACTTTGCCACAGTGTTTAACATGGAAGGTAAAGTTATGATCCTTTCCTCGTCTGTGGTGCTTTACATTGATCACACTCCTTCTGCACCAACAGTTCCTACATTATCTCAGCATCAACAATGTCCCTTCACTCAATACTGTTTTTCCAAGTCTGTTTTCTCCCTCACTTGTATTGTCTTTTCTGGTTGTTTCCTTAGACCTTGTGACATGTATAGTGCATGCTGCCTGAGGGGATCCCTCATTCTTCCCTCGTCTTTGGTTCCTCTGTGCAAGCAAACATGTTCAGTTCCATCCCATGCCACGACTTGATGATGTTCCAGGACGGACCAAAATGTTGCTACTGTCATATCATATCTTGTGTGGTGGTTTCATTGTGTTTTTCAGCCACATTATTATGACTTATTCTTAGCATGTAGCATAAAAAAGTGCTTCATTGCAGTGCTTTGAGTTTATATTTATTCAAATGTTGTTGGGCATTGAAGTTATTTAAATGTGAAAGATAGTAGTCTTGAAAAACATTTGCATAAATATTGCTCAGTGCTTCAGAGTTTAATTTTTAAGTTATCAAAGCCATTTCTGCTACTAAGATATTATTACCTGTATTAGTAATATTACTTGCTTGTCACTTGGTTGAATTTCTGGTATTTTGCTCTATATTTTTTAGTAATAGTAATATTGGATTCACAAGAAATTGACTACCTGACCATATATTGTCATCCACCAAAGTTTTCTGTGTGAAAAACCTCTAGTTGTTATGCATTGTTTCCATTTTGATTCTGTAATTTCATTAAAAGCCAAGTTTGTTTGGTTATATATTCTACAACACTGAAAGCTTGATGCTAGAAAGACTTCATATCTTTATTTTCAATACATTAATTGAAAATTATCTCTATTTGCTTGACCAGCATATTGTGATATTTTACTTTTATGTGGAGAGCCCCTTCGGCTCCCTGGAGCTATACCGGGCTGATGTGTATATATTAGACCGTGGCAACAGTCAATCAAAGGAGTTTAAGCATACCGGGGACCAGAGTTAGAACCTGGCCCCCTCAAGAAAGGTACGAGGATCAATGGCCTAAAGACACCCCCGTGTAATTGGAAGCAGTCTTTGTCTGCCATCTACAAGGTCAGGCACCCAGAGAGGTAGGAATCCCAAAACAAACTACTGCTGGTCAAAAATTGCAAACTGAATGCCGAACTAGAAAACAGAACTCCCCAATTAAAAACAAGGAAACAAACATGACGTCACCACAATCGCCGCACAGACAGTATGTATACTATAGACAACGATATAATATCAGACAGACAGTATGGTTTTCGATCTGGAAAATCCTGTGTAACGAATTTACTCAGTTTCTATGATCGAGCCACAGAGATTTTATAGGAGAGAGATGGTTGGGTTGACTGCATCTATCTGGACTTACAAAAAAATGGCTTTGACAGAGTTCCACATAAGAGGTTGTTCTGGAAACTGGAACATATTGGAGGGGTGACATGTAAGCTTCTAACATGGATGAAAAATTTCCTAACTGATAGAAAAATGAGGGCCGTAATCAGAGGCAATGTATAGGATTGGAGGAATGTCACAAGTGGAGTACCACAGGGTTCAGTTCTTGCACCGGTAATGTTCATTGTCTACATAAACGATCTATCAGATGGAATACAAAATTATATGAACATGTTTGCTGATGATGCTAAGATAATAGGGAAGATAAGAAACCTAGATGATTGTCATGCCCTTCAAGAAGACCGGGACAAATAAGTATATGGAGCGCCAATTGGTAAATGGAATTTAATGTGAATAAATGCTATGTTATGGAATGGGGAATTGGAGAACATAGACCCCACACAACCTATAATTTATGTGAGAAATCTTTATAGAATTCTGACAAAGAGAGGGATCTAGGAGTGGTTCTAGATAGAAAACTGTCACCTGAGGACCACATTAAGAACATTGTGCGAGGAGCCTATGCTACACTTTCTAACTTCAGAATTGCTTTTAAATACATGGATGGGGAAATACTAAAGAAATTGTTCACGACTTTTGTAAGACCAAAGCTGGAATATGCGGCGGTTGTATGGTGCCCATATCTTAAGAAGCACATCAACAAACTGGAAAAGGTGCAAAGACATGCCACTAAGTGGGTCCCAGAACTGAAGGACAAGAGCTACGAGGAGAGGTTAGAGGCATTAAATATGCAAAAACTAGAAGATAGAAGAAAAAGAGGCGATATGATCACTACGTACAAAATAGTAACAGGAATCGATAAAGTTGATAGGGAAGAATTCCTGAGACCCGGAACTTCAAGAACAAGAGGTCATAGATTTAAACTAACAAAACAAAGCTGCCGGAGAAATATATGAAAATTCACTTTTGTAAACAGAGTGGTAGATGGTTGGAAGAAGTTAGGTGAGAAGGTGGTGGAGGCCAAAACCATCAGTAATTTCAAAGCGTTATATGACAAAGAGTGCTGGAAAGACGGGACACCACGAGCGTAGCTGTCATCCTGTAACTACACTTAGGTAATTACACTTAGGTAATTACATCTGTCTGCGCAACCCTCCCTCCCTGGAAAGAGGATGGGGGGTGGGGGGGGTTCCAGACCTCCACGCCGGCAACTGCTCAGTTCAAGAGGTGTTGGTGACGGGCAATCGCTCTGGCTCCACTCTTTGCGCAGTGCTGCAGTACGGTGTTGTTGCTCTGCTTTGGTGGCGTGTGAGCTGGAAGTAACATAAAAATACTGGGGCTGCATGCACCTAGGGCTGCCTTTCCTAGGTGCCCTGTAAGTACTGCCTTTGCGGCCTCAGGGTTATCTTCGATGAACCATTCAGGAGCAGCTACCTCCGTGTGGTTCTGTTGCTGTTCGGTGATTGCCCGCCTTTGGGGATTCAGCTGGGGAGGTTCTTACTCCTGTTTGCCCTTGGGTAGGAGGTCGTTTCGTCGCTGGCTGGGGTGCGAGGTACTGTGCAGCTGTTTGATATACGCATAGCAACCGGTTTTGTTCACCTGGAGACGTTGTGCTTTTGCGGGGTTTTTGTTTTGTTTTTGTTTTGTTTTGTCTGGCGGGGGTCTGCCTGGTGTAGCGGTAGGACCACTTGTGAAATTTTGGTGGCCCTCCACTAGGTCCCCATGCTTGCACACGTTGCAGGGGTTCAGCTTTTAGTTGTTTGCTTGGTAGCTCTGGGATAACCGGTTAGCAGCACCTCACCTGGGCTTCCCTTAGCAGTCAGCCTAAGGGCCCCGGAAACCCCCTTTAGGGCTCAGTGGTCCAATGTAGGAGACCTCCGAGTCCCACCTCGCCTTGTGCAAGTGTGAAGGCTGCTCTGTCCCCTTGTCTCAGGGTGACACTCACTGTCTATCCCTGCCTTGCTGCCTGTTAGGGTCAGTGACACCTATGACCCGGAGTCTGTTAGGGTCAGGTGACACCTATGACCGATCGTCGTAAGCCAGTAGTGCCAGATTCGGGACTGGCCCTCCTGTGGAGTCGTTGGCTCAGTGATCGCTCTGAGTTTCAGTCGGGCTCTCGTAGGGGTTGTCAGCCCTTTCACGGTTTGCCCTGTTGGCGGGGCGATGGGGTGGGGAGGCTTGTGATGTTTGTTCTCGCCTGGTCCCTCGATTTGTGGGCAATTCAGGTCCTTTTCCTCTGGCCTGTGGTGGCGTTGCTTCTTTCCTTCTCCTTTGGGGGGATTAGGGTTTGCAGGGCGGGCCTCTTCCCCTTGCTCTCTGTCAGGTCATCCTGGAGTGGGTTTCCTGCCTGTCTTCAGTTCCGAAATGGGACTGGGCAGATCTTTGATTCATACTGGACTTGCCCTGTATGATCCCATGGGTCTTTTGCCTCTCCTATCAGATGACCAATCTGTCTCGGGTCCGGCTGCTTTTGGTGCTTGGATGGTGTCTCTGGACTTCCAGGACACGTATTTAGCACGTCCCGATTCATCCAGTGTTCAGGGACTGGCTCGGTTTTGTCATGGAGTGACACCACTTTCTTTGCCTTCCTTGCAGTTGGATCTGGCATCTCGCGTGTCCACGCACCTTAACCGGGTCATGATGACGAGGTTACTTCTGGCTTACCTCGACAATTGGCTGGTGTGGGCTCCCAGCCAATCCGCATGTCTGCTCGCCAGGGATTTGGTTCCTTACCAGCTTGCCGGGTTCGTGTTCTTGGTGTACTGGAAGTCTCAATTGGTTCCCTCTCAGGTTCGGACTGGGCTGGGTCTCGTGTAAGACTCTCGGACCGCTTCCTTGTCTCTCCCTCTGGCGGCATTGTTGCGGCTGCGGTCCCGCTTATGACTGTTTTTGGAGGGCACCTGGGTCACTCATTGGTTGTTTGAGTGGCGGTGCGGGAGCCTGATCTTGGC